TAGTTGGAAATTCATGGAGTAATGGTAGAGACGATGTCGAAAATGTTATCAGCCAATTAGTAAATACTGTAAATGAACTAGAAGCTACTGCTAATTCTCTTTGGGAAGATATATTTAATCCAGCTTTTGACACGATGATCCAAAGTAAAAATTTATTATATATTGATTATTAAACATTAATTTTCTCTTGTTTCTGTTTTTTTGATAGATGGACAATTACTTCCTAATGATCAATTAAATGCTATTAATTATATAATGGATCAACCGAGAACAATATCAAAAAATCTTCTAATAGAAAAATATGGTCAATTAATTGCTCGTTTGAAATCAAATGTTCATCATTTATATGAATTTTTATTTGTAATGCAACGTGAAGCTTTAATTGGTTTAGGAAAAGGTGAATATAATTTTGATGAAAAAATTCGTGCATTTTATGATAAAATTGCTGCTTTTGGTAAACAAATCAATGAATGGGCTGTAGAAACAAAACATGAATTAGAAATGCATGCAAATACAATTCAAGGTGATTGGCTTCATATTCTTAGTCAATATAATCAAAATATTGATGTTACTGTTAAAACACTAGTTACAATATTTCAACAATTAATAGAAAATTTAATGACACATTATCTTAAAGTTGTTCTTACTGTTGTTCCTAATGCTGTTAATGGTATTGAAAATATGAAACGACAAGGTTTACTTTCATTTTTTCATTATCAAACTGAAAATAACAAATAACAAGAATTTTTGTTATAACAAACTTTTAATAATTTTTTCATCATTTTTTTTTCGAAATGAAAGAAAAAAAAATATAATGAAAAATTGATTATGGCCAATGTATATATTTTTAGAGAATCATCAATTAGTTTTCTAGTTTTAATTTAAAATCAAAGATTAAAATTTCAATCGGAACGAGGGCATGACAAATTCAAATTTCAGTACATCGTTTTCCAATGAATGATACAAGCTAAATAATACTGTTGAAAGATCCCAACTCAATTCAATCTCAAAAATATATATTTCATTCCTATATACTATTTATATTGAAATCAATATCCTATAACCCCCATATTCCAATAGTCTTATTCGATTATACTAAATAAATTGAATAGCCATTTGTAAAAAATTGACGTTAGTATAATTATATCAATATAAGCTCAATATTTTTAATAAAACTTCTCAAAAATCAACATTAATAACAACGATAATAATCTTACATACACTAGGAATATTGATAAACAATGTATCAACGATATTCCATATGAAATAATATAGAGATGTGTAGGGTAAGCTTTTATTGTGTTTTGTATCTGACTGAAAAAAACCTTGCTAGCCCTTACCCTACTCTATTCCTACCAGAGCTGTAAGCTCGACCTGCTACCTGTCAGGCTGAATTTCGACATTTTAGCCTGGCCTGATCGCCTATATAGTATTGGACCAGGTCTAAAATTGTTGACCTGTGCGTGATGTGATATTATTTTCCCTAGTATAACTTGAAACATGAGACGACGCCAAAAGCTGATGATTTTCTTAGGGTATGGATGCGGTTCATCTCTTCACACACAGTCACCCACACCCTCAGTGAGACTAAAAAAGTCCCAAAAGCGTCCATGCCTATTGCTACTGGTCCAAAGTTATAGCCGTTTTACGGAATTTTTAGTTTATGGCATGATATCTACAACGAAGCCAAATGAAGATATTTTGTT